AATTTGAAATATGAACACTCCCGAACCACTTAATGTCAACTGAGCACTGGGTGCAGCTATTGATGCTGTACTGGCAAATTTATACATACCAGGTTGCAGTGTAAGACCACCTAGATCAACACCAGTCAAGGATGCAGATTGCGGTGCTTCTACTGCTTGACGGACAGCTAGAGCCAAGTCTGTTTTAGCTTGCGTAGCATTCGTACCTAGCCCCAGCGATACTGTACCAATGAAACTTTTATTACTGAAACCAGTAAATGCCCCACCTGGACTATTACCAATGTCACCTGTGACTAGTGTATTAAGGCCCGCATTACTCACTGTGCTGCCGGCAAGGATAGCGAACTTCGCTGCCGTGCCAAGTTGAGGAGAAGAAATCGTGGTGTGAACTACTGTAGAGGTCTAGGTGGCGACAAAAACAAGTTGTGGCAACGTTCCATAAGTGACGTCGCGCGCATTACTTACCTCAACAACGTGCGTAGCATTCGTACCTAGCCCCAGCGATACTGTACCAGTGAAACTTTTATTACTGAAACCAGTAGATGCCACACCTGGACTATTACCAATGTCACTTGTGACTAGTGTATTAAGTAATGAACTGTGTGACTCTAATACCAGCATGAGATGAATATTTATACTATTTTTGATAGAGAATTTATCTTTCTCTAGATTCGTCTTGAATAACTGCTTTTGCTTGCAGAAAATAACGTTGGATAACAGAAGAGAAACGTTCTTCTTCTTTCTGATAAAATTTCACCATCCTCGCTCATTAGGGTTTTATTTTTTGTCCTTTATTATTTAGGTTCTTGAGTACATTTCGAAAAAGTGATAGAAATTATATTAGATGTGTAAGAAAGATACAGTACGTCGTCCGAAATGCATTATAGGATGATATATTTATCGCCACTATGTACTTGAAGTCGACGTTATTGCATAATGGTGAACACATTTTCTCCTTCCGACTCATTCAAGTAGAATGTTACGATTAACTTTTCAAATCTGATGCTATTTTGTCATTTTCCACCTCGTAACGTGGAGCTTCTCTCCCCATTATCCATAGGAGATGACCTTAGCCACTATGCGACAAGTGATCGTGTAGACTTCTTTTGAAAAGCGCAAAAAAGCATGTGGTTATGTTATTCACAGATTGTTCTGGGTTTACTTATGCGACAGTAGGTGACCAGGTAACTGATTTTTCCTGAAGAAAAACGTTTTTCTTCTTTCTACTAAAATTTCATCGTTCTCGCTCATTAGGTTTTATTTTTTGTCCTTTATTATTTAGGTTCTTGGGTACATTATGAAAAAGCGATAGAAATTATATTAGATGTGTAAGAAAGATATAGTACGTCGTTCGAAATGCACTATGGGATGATATATTTACCACCACTATGTACTTGAATAATGTCGACGTCATTGCATAATGGGGAACACACTTTCTCCTTCCGACTCATTCAAGTAGAATGTTATGATTAACTTTTCAAATCTGATGCTAGTTTTTCAGTTTCAACCTCGTAACGTAGAGTTCTCTCCCCATTATCCATAAGAGATGACTTTAGCCGCTATGCGACAAGATGATAAGCGCATCAGAATAAGATAACTGTTGTTTTTTAGTGAAGAATGATGAACGAAGCTCATGGTATCATGTACCGCCCGAATTACAAAAAACTTAAGATCAACAAGTCCGCGTCAGACAAAATCAGAAAATTTTTATTATTTTTATTATAAAAAGTTTACGCATTATTTTACCTTCGTAATAGTCATTTTAATCAGGTTCTTGAGTACATTTCGAAAAAGTGATAGAAATTATATTAGATGTGTAAGAAAGATACAGTGCGTCGTCCGAAATGCAGTATGGGATGATATATTTACCACCACTATGTACTTGAATAATGTTGACGTCATTGCATAATGGTGAACACATTTTGTCCTTCCGACTGATTCGGGCAGAACTTTTTTGTCTAATTTAATTATTTCGTGTTCGTACGGGTTGTGAATGAAATGTTGATAAATTTCATTCAGATTTGTCAAAACCTTTGACCGAAGGGCGCAACTGCACGGATTTGAGACTGATTCACTCACAGCACATGCTAACAACGAGCCAAGAACTTGATCAAAGATCTGCATTTTCAGAAAACGATATCTAAAAGTGCGTTCTAAGGACTGAATAACATATGCGCCAATTTTATCTTTTGAGGAGATGCTCTTATGAAAATTCTAACTCTCATCCATCAGTTATTACGGTTCTGTTACAGGAGAAGAGATGAGAAGGGGTACTTATAAATTAGTTTCTTTATCGATCAGAGTGGATAACATTTTGTTCACGTTGCGCAGTGAGATCCATATACCTTTTATTGAGATTATTCAATTTGTAGTAATTGATATAAAATTTAATGATCTTGAGCATATTTCTAGCACTGTAAGTCTCTCTACAGGACGCTTTTGACATACAATACACATCTGTTGTTTTTAAGTATAAACTTAGCGATCTGAGCATGACTTTTTTCTCTGTCGAAGTTATAGATATATACTATTCATCTACGTTAGTTGCTTACTAGTGAGCATTGAAATTATTTTTTTTGTAATGATCATCGAAACTCGCTGAAATAACGTTTATCTATATTATAACCATAGATTTTCTCGTTTACTTATTTTATCTTATTCATTTTATTGATTCAAAGACGATAATGCTATCTTCGTGACTAATATCCATCAAAAATGATTCTGGTGCAGTAAATTTATATGCGGAAATCATAACAGAAGTTGAAAAGAAATGTATATAGTATTAGCAATGAGAAGACGAGAAAATTAAAAAAGCATTTTACATTTATTCTTATTTTTGTTTTTAGATAAAGTTAAATATTTTTAGAGAAGAGTATGTGAGTTAAAGGTTAACATGGAAAAGTCATTGTATTACTTTTACTATTAAATAGGAATTAACGTTTATTTGGCTGATTCAGCTTCCTCTATTAACTGATTTATTGTTATACTAATACAACTATCTTATTTTTCTACCATTTATAAATCTTTTTTTAAAATTTTGTTAACGATATACGAGGTTGTTTATAGAGAAATAATGTTTATAGGAGAGATGTTTTATTAGAATAATTTTTGAAGTTCTTCTCCTGGATTCGATCTTCCGACAGTCACACGTTGACGACAGTCACTTCTTCAACTACGAATTTTCCCATTGCACTAAACTGTGCAAAAGGAAACTATGAGTTATAATGATACATCCGTATGATGGGCGTACACTTATGTATATTAAATAGTCTTCACAAGGAATACCTCGAATATGAGCAAAAGTAATTTGGGCAAAACGACTTTTAGCAAAAGAAAATGAGCAAAAAATTTTGAGCAAATTTATTTTGAGCAAAAATTAGTTAAGCAAAATGACGTTGAGCAACGGGAAGATGAGCAAAGAAGTGAATAACAAATTATGTGTGTCATTTTTATAATAGAACTGTAGCAATTTTTTCCAGCAGTTGATAAGTATTGCTCGACGCATCATCATTTAGTGAAAGAGGACATACCATTTTAAGATTCAGTCCCGATTCGTCGACAAATTAATAAAAAATAATTGAAATTCCCGACTCGTCGACACTTTTTATTTTCCCGACTCGTCGACACTTTTTTTTTCCCGACTCGTCGACAAATTCATATAT